CAATTCCTAGCAACCACATGGTGGCTCACAACCATCTGTAGGGGGATCTGATGTCCTCTTCTGGTGTGCTGAAGAGAGTGACAGTGTACTCACACACATAAAATAAATAATTTTTTTTTGGTTTTTCAAGACAGGGTTTCTCTGTATAGCCCTGGCTGTCCTGGGAACTCACTCTGTAGACTAGGCTGGCTTCGAACTCAGAAATCTGCCTGCCTCTGCCTCCCAAGTCCTGGGATTAAAGGTGTGCGCCACCACTGCCCGGCAATAAATAAATCTTAAACAAACAAAAACAAAGGAACAGCCAAAGCTACACGGTGAGATCTTGTCTTTAAGAGACAAACCACTACCCCACCAAAGCAAAACCAGAAATCACCATCACCACAAACTGCAGACATCCTACCTGCTAGTAGCTGCCTAGCCTTTCCCAGGTCAGTCATATCACCCAGGGACAAGCCTTCTTCAGCTCTGCCTCTATCCTGCTGTCTCCTGACCCTGGCACTGGCAACATTGTCTGTCCCCAGCAGGTGGGCAGAGGGAAAGAGACTGTGTACACTCATGCATTATTAATATTGTTTTCTGTCAAAGATATAACCCAGGCGGTGAGCAAGGTGATACAATTATCCTCAGGCAGCTGTGAGAAAGCAGAGGGACAGGCCTACCTGATCTGAAAGGGTGGTGAGGAGCCAATCGGGAATCGAAGAGGCCAGGAAGGGCATTTCAGGGACAGGGAACAGGCACCAGCCAAGACCTCGAGATGATAGTAATAGCCTTTTGAGGTTGTAAAGCAAGGGACTAAGAGCACCGGCTGGCTCCTCTTTGTAAAAATGCTGAGGGAAAAAAAGAGACAGGTGGAAGAATCTCTGCTGGAAGGCCTTGGGCCTCTTCCCCGGGCTATCTTAGAGAGACAGAAGTTGCTTCAGAAAAATGAAGGATTGTACTGTCAGACACTCAGTTCAAGTCCACTGAAGTGATGTGCAAAAGGATTATAAATGGTGCATAGTGACATATACAGCTTAGAGGGGCCAAGATAGAATAGGAAGTGGAGCTGGGCACGGCAGTGCACACCCTTAGTCTCAGCCGGGAGGCAGAGGCGTGGGGATCCCTGTGAACTTGAAGCCAGCCTGGTCTACTTAGTGAGTTCCAGGTCAACCAGGGCTACAAAGTGACCCTATCTCAAACAAAACAAAACAAAACAAAACAAAACAGTATGAAGTGGGGTAATGTATTGGCTAGTTTTATGCCAGTTTGACACCGCTAGAGTCATCTGAGAGGAGGGAGTCTCAATTGAGAAAATGCCTCCATAAGATCGGGCTGTAGGCAAGCCTGGAGGGCATTTTCTTAGTGATTGATGGAGGAGGCCTCAGCCCATTGTGTCTGGAGCCATCCCTGGGCTGGTGGTCTTGATTTCTATAAAGAAGCAGGCTGAGCAAGCCATGAGAAACAAGCCAGTCAGTAGCACCCCTCCATGGCCTCTGCATCAGCTACTGCCTCCAGGTCCCTGACCCACTTGAGTTCCTGTCCTGACTTCCTTTGATGATGAACTGTGACATGGAAGTATAAGCTGAATAAATCCTTTCCTCCAAGTTACTTTGGTCATGCAGTTTTATCACAGCTATAATAACTCTAATTTAGGGGTCAGACAGATGGCTCAGTGGTTAAGAGCATTGGCTGAGCTTCCAGAGGTCCTGAGTTCAATTCCCAGCAACCACATGGTGGCTCACAACCATCTGTAATGGGATCCGAGGCCCTCTTTTGGTGTGTCTGAAGACAGCTAAAGAGTACTCATAAATACATAAAATAAATCTTAGAAAACCAAAACAAACCTCTAATTAAGACAACTTGGCACATGCCTTTAATCCCAGCACTTGGGAGGCAGAGGGAGGCAGATTTCTGAGTTCGAGGCCAGCCTGGTCTACAGAGTGAGTTCCAGGACAGCCAGAGACATACAGAGAAACCCTGTCTCGAAAATCAAAAAAAAAAAAATTTTTATAAGACAACTTGGTATCAGAAGTGAGGTATTGCCATGACAGACCTGAACTTGTTTCTGAGAGGACTGGGAAGGAGTGTGGAACTTTGGGCTAAAAAAACCATTGAGAATTGAGAGCTCAGGGAGCTGTCCTGTGGGAGCCTGTATGGTGAGAATGGAGAGCGATGCAGACAACGGAGGCCTGGCTTGTGATGTTGTAGAGGAATGCAAAGACTCTATGGGGTCTTTGGTGTGAAGAATCTGTGGTGTTTGGTTAGCAGGGGCTGAGAAATCAGCTGTGATTGACAAGAGACTAGAACCACTAAAGTAAAACCTTTGCTTTGTTGGGACAATGAATGCTGGTCGGCTAGGGCTGAAGAATCAGCTGTAATTAAGAAGAGACTGATGCCATTCGGTTGAAGTCTTCTGGGAAGTGTTTCTGGAGAGAACACAGAAGCTGTGTTCACAGAGGCAGTCAAGGTTGTACCTCCTCGTGCTGGCAGCTGAACTTGGTCGTATTAGGAGTCACCCAGGTGGTACTGGTTTGGAAGGCATGAAGGGGTTGTGGAAATTGCCTCAGTGGTAGTTAAAGGCACAGGACTGGAAGGGTCATACAGACATGTTGAAACTTGGCACCAGGAAAAAAAGCCCAGGAGAGGCTATTGGTAAAAGTGCAGCCCAGTTGTAGCAGAAGACCCCACAGCATTTTGGAGATGACAGTACCATGGGACGATTACCAAGAAGGGCAGCAGCCTTGGAGCAAAGCCTAGAAGACCAGTTGTGTGTGCTGCAGAGCCAGAACTGGAGAATTGACCCATGCCCTTTGGGGAATCCCAAGTGAATCCCAGATACTTGGACATTGAGTTATTTATACTGGTGGAGTTTGGGTTTGCTTTGTTCAGTCTGTGCCTGTGCCCTGGCGTTCTTCCCTCTTGAAGGAAGAAGGTATTTATTTATTTATTTATTTATTTATTTATTTATTTATTTTTATGGGAGCCCACAGCTGAGAGTCTTGAACTTTTAAAAAGAGATTTTGGATTTTTAGAGAGAAAGAACATTTTATTTATTTTTATATTTATTTATTTATTTATTTATTTATTTATTTATTTATTTATTGGTTTTTCGAGGCAGGGTTTCTCTGTGTAGCTCTGGCTGTCCTGGAACTCACTCTGTAGACCAGGCTGGCCTCGAACTCAGAAATCCGCCTGCCTCTGCCTCCCAAGTGCTGGGATTAAAGGCATGCGCCACCACTGCCCGGCTGAGAATGAAGTTTTAATGTGTTTGAATTTGTAAGTACTATAGGATTTTGGAGGTTATGTATGTTTTATATTTTGATATTGGTAACATACCATCTTGTGGATAAGCGAGAAAGGAAAGGTTCTAATTGGAAAGTGATGTGTTTGTGTGTCAAGCTGACGAGGGGTCAGTTGTATGGAATGGTTTTATGTCAACTTGACACAGCTAGAGTCATCAGAAAGGAGGGAACCTCAGTTGAGATAATAGCCTCATAAGATCTGGGTGTAGGCAAGTCTGTAGGACATTTGGAGAAGGCCTCCTGGGTGGAGCCATCTGGGCTGGTGGTCCTGGGTTCTATAAGAAAGACTGAGCAAGCCAGTAAGTGGCACCTCCCCATGGTCTCTGCTTCTGCTCCTGCCACCAGGTTCCTGCTCACTTTGAGTTCTTGTCCTGACTAGGGTTTTTGTTTTGTTTTTGCTTTTTTGAGACAGGGTTTCTCTGTGTAGCCCTGGTTGTCCTAGAACTCACTCTCTAGACCAGACTGGCTTTGAACTCAGAAATCCGCCTGCCTCTGCCTCCCAAGTGCTGGGATTAAAGGCCTGCGCCACCACTGCCTGGCCCTGACTAGGTTCTTATCTTAACTTCCTTGATGATGAACTGTGATGTGGAAGTGTGACCTGAATAAACCCTTTCCTCCTTCAAGTTTCTTTGATCATGGCGTTTTATCACAGGAAGAGTAACCTTAACTAGGAAAGGCAGGATGAATGTCCACCATTTCCCAAGGGCTCCATGTTTTGTGGAATGAAGTAGAAAGACCTAAGACACGAGTAATTAACCAGTTCTGTTTAACAAACGGGGAAGCGTAGCATGGGAAGGGAGCGTTAGAGGTAAAGTTTCAGACAGGCATATGTTTGCATATTGGCTGTTATTAGCTGCAAAGATACTTAAAAGCTCAGAGAGCTTCTGAACAAAGTTCTCCAGTGTGTTTAAAACTGTATAGTGAGTCCATGTGGCAGGGAGGCCTGAAAATGGGCACATATCTCCATTATGTTATGAGTATCTATGGTTAAGAGGAGAGAGATTTGGATTTCTCCATTTGTAAGGATAAACTGCAGATGTTTGTGTTGAAGGAAAGCACCGTGATTCTATGAGCGTTTAAGGTAACAGCTGAACTGGTTTAAACAGAGTTAAAACAGTAAAATGGCTTCTTGTCTAGCTGAAAAGAGGAATTTTAATTGCATAGTTTCTTTCATTAATATTAGGAAGGGGCTCTTTTTTCCCAGGGCCAGATATGACCTTTTCTGACTTTATAAACAGAAAAAAAAAAAATTTTTTTTTTAAAGCAACCCTTCCAGACTTAGATCTCTGGGAAAATGGAAGTAAATACTGACACAGGCTGATTTTGTTTTCCCAAGAGAGGGTTCCCAAGCGATTTCACTAATTAGTCTAGTAAAAAAATGGTTTTCAAGCTTGTTTTTCCTCTTAGATTTCAAATGAACTGAGGGTCAAATAAATTCTCCAGCTTTGGTTTGTACATAATATTAGTCCCGAAGGACTTTTTAAAAAATAAGGAAGAATTGAAGAAAATACTGGTGAGGCGATTTTGCAAGGGGGATATTAAAAAATAATAAAGGGCAGAAGGTATCGCCTGACCATGGCTTTAGAGAAATTTAGTGGGTAAATTAGTGGGGAGGAAATTGTATGATCGCCTCTAGTTTGGTTTTCTAGAGCAGAAAACGAGGAAGCATCGTACCCGAGGTAGGACCCAGGCTTCCCGGTATCACTTTAGAGTAATTATCACACAATTCCGCCAGGCCTCCGGAGGGACGTTGGAGGTTACAGCTGATCACACTAAACAGCCAATAAAAATTCAGAAATTCCCGCCCTTCTCGAATTTCAACCAATCAGCGTCGGGAGCTTTGGCTGGTTGGCCTGCGCATCTGTTGCTGGAGGAAGGCGGTAAGCCTCCTCAGAGTTGCCCACAGCGGATATGGCTGCGGCCCCTGGAGGCGGGGATGTGAAATGAGGAGGGGGCAGGGAGGGGAGAGGACGCGAGCGAGGAAGACCGTCCGAGGGGCCCCGGTAAGTACGAGAAGGCCCGCGGCCCGAAGTGGGGAGAAGGGGGCGTGGGGCTTGGCCTGCTGCGCCCGCTGAGTTCTTACCCGAGGCGAGGAGCGTCTGGGGTGTGCACCTAGCAAGTGGCACCAAAGGGGGTGTCTCTCTGTGGTGGGGTGGCGGGGCCGGCCGGCGCCTGCCTCCAACTCCTGGCCGCCTCCTTCCCTCACGTCCTCAAGGGTTTTTATTTTGTTTTGTGTTCTTCTTTCCCCTCTCTGTCTTGGCTTGTTCCTTGCCGGGCTCCCTCGTCAGAAATAAAGGTTGTGTCCAACAAAGAATCCTCGGCCCAGGTTCGGCGAGGCTGGGCCCCGGGCCAGAGGGCTGCCAGTCCTGATGCCACAAGTGTTTATTTGTAGGCCTCTGGGTGTCCCCGGCCCCAATAAAGACGGTTTTCTCCCACAGCGCTCGCGCTGTGCTCGCTGCCCCGAGCTGACAGTGTCTCTGCGCCCGCCCGCCCGACACTGAGAGACTTCAGTTCATTGCAAGGCTGGGATGTTGCAGTTGGGGTGTACTTCCCTGCTTTTAGAGTCACATAAAGATGCTTCGGAAGCAAGCAGAGCACCATAGCATTTGCAGTTCTGTAATGCAATTTCCGTGGTTTTGTTTTTTTGTTTTATTTTTTTTTTTTCCTACTGCGAAACCCTAAAGTCAAAATCCTAGGGAAGGTTCAGTACCTAAAACGTCAAATAAAAGTGACTGAGGAAATAAAAAAGTTTGACAGTCGCTTCCAGAATCAGACCATTGTACAGTGTAGGCTCATCCTGGAGCAGCAGTTCAGACAGATTCCACCGACACTCTGCAGGGTAATTTCACTGGCTTTAGTAGCTGCCACTTCTATTAGGTTCTCTCAGGGCGGAATTACAAGCAGGGAAACCTAGATTCTGTGGAGGACTGAATTGACAAGACACCTCTATGATAACCGGGGGGGGGGGGGGGGGGGGGGGGGGGTGGTTTGAGAGTTACCTGTCCTTGAATGCCCACTTCTGCTAATCCCATTCTGGGTAAGACCTCAGATAATTAGAAGACAGACAAGAGGCTGACCAGGCCGGGAGATGGAAAGAAATCAGAAAACACTTGACATTTCTATTTTAAGTGGCTAGGGAGTGCCAGCTCCCAGGGAAGAGAGTCAACCATTTGGAAAGCTTACCTCCTGAAGAACGAATTAGCCATAAAGGTCACAGTCCTTGGGCTCCTCCCTGCTCCTTTTTCCTAAATTGGACTCCAGAATCAATTTCTATACAATAGTCAAATGCTTACTGTCTACACCCGAGGTATTATTTAACCCATCCTGGTCAGTCAGGTGTGAACCGGAAAGCTGAAAGGGCCTCTAAGGACGTTCCTGATTTCCCAGTGAGGAGGCTCCCGGTCTCCCTCTGCACCTTGCCATAACCGGTAACCCCGTGTTGGTGGGTTTTGTTCTGTTGCTATTGTGTCTGTGTTCTGTTCACTGCAGTGTCTTCCATGGCTGAAAAGATAGGTTTCTTTAAAACAGTTTGAAAGTCTAGTTTGCAAGCAGGCCTAGGTGAAGTAAAGGTTAGGCCACTGCTGAAGCCGGAATGTTTTCCTTCCAAAAGACTCAACCAGTGTGGTTTGGTGAGCAGGGGTTTGTATAATAATGAGCTTGGCCTGAGGCTGCTGGGATGGTAGTAAACAGTGCTGGTCACGTGGTAGGGGAAGGCGCGTAAGGGCCAGATTTCAACCCAACCTTGACGCCGAACCCCGGTAAAATCTCACTGACGGAGTTTTAGCGTAAATCCTGTGATCTCGGTTTTTATAATTTTGGGACCCACTTGAAGAAGACTCTTGTGATAAGCAGCCTTCCTTTGAAGGAAGCTTTCAAAAACTACCAGGAAACAAGGAAAGATCTCATTGGAGAGAGACACAGAGGGGAACACCAGAGGATAAACCTGCCCCAGCTGCAGCAGTCTCCAGTGACAGTGCTGCTTTGGTAATGTTAAGCAGAGCCAGAGTTTGCTGGGTTTTGGTTTTTTTCCCCTAGTGGTGGTAAAATAATACATTTCATGAGATTTAGGACAGGTTCTGTAACAGTACATTTGTATTATTGTACGATCACGACCACCCATTTCGAAATTTTTTTTTTCATTTTTTTTACCTGAAACTACCATTAAACCCTGTTTGCCAGTGTTCCTACCCCTGGGTACTTGAATTATACTTCCTGTCCCTGTTGTTTTTGAACATCTGTGATGTTGACTTGGAGACTTTTGGGATAAAATACCATCTAGCTGGCTCATGAGCCACATCTACTTTGAGGTTTTTGTTTGTTTCGTTTTTTGTTTTTGTTTTTTTCAAGACAGGGTCTCTGTAGACAGCCCTGAGCTGTCCTGAAACTTACTCTGTAGACCCAGTTGGCCTCAGACTCAGAGACTTGCCTGCTTCTGCCTCCTGAATGCTTGGATAAAAGGCATTGCCGCCACACCTGCCCTGGCTATTCTGAATCTTTTGACAGGCTTCCACGCTGGATTTCCTTAGTGGCTGAGTGGTTTTCAGTCCCCCAGCAGTGGATGCTGGCTCCTTCTTGTCCCTGTCACTTATTTTCTGAATTACTGCTGCTTGTATTCAGAGGAGATGGAGTCTCGTATAGTTTTGGTTTGTGTTTCTCTGATGGCTGGAGAAGTTGGATAGTTTTCCGTATGTTTATCGGCTGTCTGCTTTTCATTTTTTGGAGATCTACCTGTCTGTTTTGTAAGCCTTTCATTGACTTGGTTGTTTACTTTCCCATTGGCTAGCTTTTGGAGTTCTTTGTATATTCTATATATTAGTATTCCGTCAGATGTCCAGCTAGCAGAGCTTCTCTTTTGTCCTGCAGACTGTCCCTTCGCTCCATTTTAACTGTTGCCTTTGCTGCACAAAGGCTTCTGAAGGTCATGAGGTCCCATGTGTGATTTCTGGCGCTCTGTTTTTATTTTCTCTATTGGAATATTCTGCTGCCTTTGGTAGAGACTTTCCCTTCTCTAACTGAATTCTCTTTGTACTTCTCTTAAAATCAATTGTCCAAAAATGTCTGGATCTATTTTTGGACTCTGAAATACCAAGCCAATACCACATTGCTTTGAGTACTGTGGTGATACAGTCCTTGACGTCAGGAGGACTCCTGTAAATTTTGTGTACTTTTCCTCCCGCTCCTTAGCTCTCCCCCTCCCACGTCTCCTCTTCCTCCAGTCCCCTTCTCTGACTTCTCTTCCTTTTCTGCTTTTTTGAGTCTCATTATCACTTGATAGATTTCCTTGTTGGCCAAGGTTTCACTCTGCAGCCCAGGCAGGCCTGAGCCTTGTAATGCAGAACAGGCTGTATTTGAACACATGGCAATCCTCGTTCCTCGGGCTCCTTGGTGCTGGGATTACAGAGGTAAACCACCAGATCTGCCCTTGGCTCTACCTTGTAGCTGATGACTCCTGTTGCCCAGATCTAAGCAAAAGTCTGGGGAAAGGGAGTCTGCAAAACTGAAGCTGGATGTGGTGATGCTCACTGGTCACTCAGCACTGTTCTGTATTCCGGGGGTGGGGTGGGGTGGGGGTGTTGGTGAGACAGTTCATCAGGTAAGGAGCTTTTCTCTCAAGCCCAGCCTCCGGTTTTCTTTTCTTTCTTTCTTTTTTTTTTTTTTTTTTTCCGAGACAGGGTTTCTCTGTGTAGCCCTGGCTGTCCTGGAACTCACTCTGTAGACCAGGCTGGCCTCCAACTCAGAAATCCGCCTGCCTCTGCCTCCCAAGTGCTGGGATTAAAGGCGTGAGCCACCACTGCCCGGCCCAGCCTCCGGATTTCAGTCATTGCCCCATGTGATAAAAAGGTAGAATCAAATTTTGCAAGTTGTCCTCTGACCTCCATGTATATGTCATGCATGTTCGTCATAGCTAGAAATGACAACATATGCTTTAGTCCCAGCACTCGGGTGGAGGGGCAGGGGAATATCTGCAAGTTTGAGGCCAACTTGGGCTGCATGGCAAGCTCCAGGACAACCAGGGCTGTCTCAAAAACAGAAGTAAAAAGCAAGCTGATGTATGTTGCGCAACTGAACAGCGTATTCCAGGAACACTGTGCTATAGACAGAGGTCAGGTATCTTTCTTGCTGGGAAGAAGACGTGTCTGTTATAGAGACTGAATGGTAATGAACTTTGAGTAGCTATGCTCGCATATTGGAATTGCGTTGGACTGAGTCTTTTATGGTAGTTCTGTACAGTGTTTCGAGCCTGTGCTGAGGGCTTCCCAGTTAAACTGACCCCAACAGATTTGGCTCATCTTTGCAACCTGTTGAGCCTTCCTTCGGTGCAGACTTTGATGTTTTCCCCAGGGTTATGTATGCTCTCTAAGAATTTGATTACCGTGCCATCTGTTTCCTCACTGAAGCCATTGATAAAAATATTGACCAGAATGCAAAGGGCAAAACTTGATAGCTTGCTGTTGAAAACCTTGATTTGCACAGCATTAACACATCAATTAGTTCCCTTTGGGTACTGATATTTCAATTAAATATAGACCCATCAAATATTGATTGGTGTGTTGAGCAAGGCCACTGTGCAAGCCTAGCTAATGGAGATTAGATTAGAAGGGTCGAGACTGATAGATAACTCCCCACCTCATGCTCAACCAGAGCCTTACACCCTACTTGGTTTTGTGGCCTTGGTTCTGAGCTTGGCAGAAAAAACCAGCCATCTTTCTTCCCATGACTGTTGTTGCAGCTTTCTGTTTTTGTTTTTTTGCTGCTTGGTGTGACAAACCAATTTTATATGTTATAATTTTATTATATTAAAACATTATTACATTCTTCTAACTCTCCTGCATGTCAGGTCTTCCCTTTCTCCCTCTCATCTTTCTTTCTTTTTAAAACTCCTTAAAAAAATCTTGGAGTCACCTTAGTAACTGTCTGTGATTCCTCAAGGCCTCCTGCCAGGTTCAGCCTCAGTCCTTCCAGGAGACTTTCCTGGTCTTTTAAATCACACGTTTAACTGTTGACTTTCTGTGTACGTGCATGTGTGCGTGTGCATGTGTGGAGGTTCCTGAGTATCGTGGTGCATGTGGAAATCAGAAGACAATCTGTGGGACTGCTCTCTCCTACCATGGAGGTCTCAGGTCCTCAGGCTAGCCAGCAGGTGTCCGTTATCAGCTGAGCCATCTCACCAGCCCTTAGTGATCTGTTATTATAGTGGCCCCAAACTGTTGCATTGTAAATTTCTCTGTGGCTCATGCTTCTAGTCCCAGCCATTTGGAAGGCCAAGAACGAAGGGTTATGAATTTGATGTTTTCTGTGTGACACTGTGGTTCCCCTGTGTGTGTGCTAGCATGTGCTCACAGTTATGCACTTCAGAAACTGAACCCAACCAAGCAGCTCTCTTTTCCTGAGGCACAAATGTTATGTCTTATACTCTGGAAGTCATCACCCCTAACCCTCATCTGTGAAGCATACAGACTTTAGTATGTTGGTTGGCTTTCTGTTGCTAAAGTCCCAGGACAATCACTGAGGAAGAGAGGAGGTTTCTCTGTGGTTCATGGTTTCATAGATGGACTCTATACAAGGTAGTCTCGTGTCTGCCTTGTGCCACGCAGCATCTGTTTTGAGACTCAGTTAGACCGGGGTATAACCATTTAATTCTGCCTTCTACCTTACCACAGGGTAGTTCTGCAGCAGGACACTGAATTTGTTCATCTGTCCTGTAAATGGACACTTGAACTAGTCTTCTGGTTTGGGGTTATTTTGAATAAAAATGAGGATAACTGTTTTTTTTGTATACATATGTATATGCATACATGTGCATATGCATGTTCTTATGTGTATGAGAGCATATGTGTATTCATACACACTTGTATGTGTGCATGTATGTACCAGAGATTAATATTGTCTTCTTCAATTACTTCCTAACATATATATTAATATATTATATGATATATAATTATAGTGATATGTATATCACTATATATAGTTCTTTTTGGTCCTCTGCAAGCATAATAAGGACTCTCAATGCTGAGCCATCTCTTCAGCCTCACACATTTATTTATTATGTGTATGTTTGTGATTGCGTGTGCTATATCACGTGTATGGAAGTCAGATGACAGCTCTCAGTAATCCATTTTCCCCTTTGTATATGTGGCACCAGACATTGAAAGCAGCTCATCAGGCTTGGCAGAAGCGCTCTCCACCCACTGAGCCATCTGGCTGGCACTAGAAGTATAATTTATATTTTAACCTTACAGCCTTGTATTTGTGGATTCCTTGCCATTTTCTGGAGACTGTATTATTTAACCTGTAAACAACGTCTCGGTTTGGGTTTTATTGCTGTGAAAAGACACCATGACCAAGGCAGCTCTTATAAAGAACAACATATAATTGGGGCTGGCTTACAGTTCCAGATGTCTAGTCCATTATCATCATGGCCAGGAAGCATGGCAGCCTACAGGCAGACATGGCGCTGGAGGAGCCGAGAGTTCTACATCTTGATCTACAGTCAGTCAGGAGAGTACTGTCTTCTGCAGACAGCCAGGAGGAGGGTCTGGCTTCTGCACTGGACAGAACTTGAGCATAGGATCTCAAAGCTCACCTCCACAGTGCCAACCTTCCTCCAATGAGGCCACACCTGCTTCAGTAGGATTACACCTCCGAATGGTGCCACTTCCCATGGGTCAAGCATATTCAGACAGAGACAGTCTTCCTTTTAAAACATATTTTTGAAATTAACACCTGATTATGTCATTTTACTCTTTCCTCTTCCTCCCTCCAGCCCTTCCCATGTACCCTTCCTCCAGTCTCTCTCACATTCATGCTCTCTTTTATTGGTTTGTTTTGTTTTGTTTTGTTTTGTTTCAGACAGGATTTCACTATGTAGCCCTGGCTAGACTGGAACTCACTATGTGTCCTCAAACTCACAGAGACCTGAACATCTCCAGGACTGGGAGGAAAAGCATTCCTCACAATACCTGGCAAAGCCTCTTTTTTTTTTTTTTTTTTTTTTTTTTTCTAATTGCTGCTACATATATGTGGGTCCATCATGTGGGTTCCAGGGTTTGGATTCAGGTTTGACAGCATATGAGTCCTTCTTCTTAACATAGGTGGACTTAATTGTCATTTCTTGTTGCTAATGAGAGTAGTAGCTACTATTTATCGAATACCAAATATTGTGCCAGGTCCTTTATATGTATTATTTTTACATAATTCTCATAACACTGCCATGAAATATCTATTGCCACAACCATCCTAAGTCGAAGCCGAAAAGGACAAACCAAGTTACCAAGGTCACTCAGTGTTTGATACGTGGTGGAGCTGAGATTTGAACCCACAGGTATTCATTTAGCTTGCCGCTGATGTTCTTTCACAATGAGCTACAGGAGGAGCTGGCCCTTTAAGGACTCTGCTCCTGATTTCAGGTCAGATGTTAAGAACAGTCTTCTTCCAGAATCCCATGTATGGAATGATGAGAATACAGAGACTCTTAGAAAAATGTCATGTTCCTGGCTGCCCTCTGCACTGCTGTGGTTCCAGCTGGCCACAGTTATTTCCCTCTGGTTGTGTTGGCAGACGAAGGTAATAGGAACAATCCCCTTCTGGATCCTGGTGACTCTCCCTGTGTGGTTAATACCTTATTCAGCCCCTGCAGGGGTGGAGCGTCATGGATCCTCAGCCATAGCTGTGACCAGGGTTCAGGCTGCCTGGTCAGAGTGGCCTTGGGCAGGAGTGATGTGACCTCTAAGGATCCAATTTCAGTTGGCTGCCAAAGACTGGATGTCACTGCTCTGCAAGGCCACTTCCAGCGTCACTATCTCTGACCCCGAGGGGATGGCTCCGCTTTGATTGAAGGGCCGGGCTGAAAGGAAGGGGTAGGGAGAGACTTGGCAGCATGGCAGGTGACATCAGCTTGGGTCCCGCTTGAGGAACTGGGTGGGATTTGGGAATGGAGTTGGTGGCTTCAGACCTGAGCTTCCTGGCTGGCCCTCTGGACACAGATTTTTCAATTGTTTCTCAACAGTTCTTTTATGGGTCAGCTCTCCTGGGCTTCTGATTCCTCATAATAAGGTTGGCTGCGGGCCCCAGAGAGAAACTGCCCTCATCAGCAGGTTAGCACGTTCTCCAAGAGGAGTCTTCTGGCTCCAAACCAGATTATTCAGTGCCACTTTTTACTGAGCACGTGCCCTGATCTGAGCTTGTGCAAGTTGTGCTGGCTGCCAGGATGGAAGAATGAGGGTCGAGGCTCAGGTGGGCTGCTAAGGATCAAACCCAGGGCATAGCACATGCTAAACATGTGTTCTGTCACATGTGCATTCCGGCCCCTGGGCTGAGTGCATTGTCCAGATAGCTGCTTGACATTTGTCACACCAGTTGTCAGGGTGACTCGCTGGTTCCTTGCAGACTTCTGCCAAGGTGTCTCTGTCTAGAACTGCTGTTACCCACACAAGAGGCTCAGAAGACCTATGGGCATGTGTGTGCTGGCAGGTGTGTTAACATGTTCCTGTGCACATGAAGTGTGCGTCTGCTTCTGCCAGCTCTCTTTCCATACCCACCCCTCCTGATTACTTGACTTGTATTAGACTCTGGATGACGTTACCGCTGACTTTAACCCCAGTCTTAAGATGCACTGATACTATAAAGAAAGCTCTACCTGTCTGCTGGGTGTCAGTGATTCAGAGTACACAGGGAACCAAAAACAGAATGCCTCTGAAAAGGAAGCTTGAAAGACAAAGGCTGGCTCTCCTGCCCAGGGCTGACTCCTCAGGCATGCTACCGCAGGGCCAGCAGGGTGCTGGTGGGCTGTGGTTGAGTTGAGATCCTCACATTACACAACAGTCTCGAGTCCTGTGACCTTACTTACTGAATTTCTTTCCACTTTTTCCCCAGATGCTGTGACTGTGACACACTCACTTGGGTTTGTCCATGTTGGGGAGGAAGCTTCCTTCCAGGTGTGACCGCATTCGTCTGGGCATGTCTGAAGTACCCGGGGCCCATGGACCTGAAGGAGAAGCATCTGGTGGGCCTCCCTCCATTGCTGTGTGGTTGTTGGAGTAGGGTATCTCTATTGGGTTCTCCTCACCCGGGTTCTCTGGGATTTTCAGGGTTTTACATTCAGTTTGAGGCAGGAAGCTCTAAATCTTGTCCGGGATACAACTCTGACCTCTTCTTAGAGGTTAGCACCGCCTGGCTGGGATGAGCAGGGTTTAAAGGTGGCCCAGTTAACACAGCTGCATGACAGCAGGCTTTCTGATTGGATTTGATCCCAAGCCAGTCTTGCCCAGAGCTGTGTAATTTGGTTTATTTGCGCTATGCTAGGGCTGTGCCCCAACCTGCCTGGCCACGTCGAAAACTGTTGGGCACCCTGTCTGTGGTTAGGGACAAGCACCTCATCAGATTCCAAACACAGCTGTGTATTAATCAACAGGAATGAACAGGGCCTAGTGGTACAAGTCTGTAATTCCACTTACTCTAGAGGCTGAGGCTGAGGCAGGAGAATTGCAAATTCAGGGTCTGTTTGGACCACAGAGTGAGTTCAAGGCTGCCTTTGACAACTTTGTGAGGTCATCTCTCTACCCCTTAAATCAGCCAGGCTTGACGAGTCCAGGGCGTTGAAGTCTGGTCCTGCCCTCAGGTGCGCAGTCTTTGGATGGAAGTAGATTTAGAATATTTCTCTCTTATGGCTAAGACTGCCCCTCTCCCCCGTAGGAAGTCCTTGTCTCTCTTGCCTGGTTTCTACATAGCCTACTAATACCCCTGGGGAATTTATGAGCACATGAGCCCTGGACTAGAAAGCCACATACCAGTAGCAGCCATGTTTATGGAACATTGGCCTTAGCACGACAGAGCCCTCATAGGCCGTGAAGGTAGCTCCCAGCTTGCAGAGGGCTGCAGTCTCCTAGAGGGTCAGAAGGAGGGTCAGTTTAGTAGTGGAGCCCACTGGGGTTCCCACCTGCACAAGGACATTTCCTTTTTTAATTTCTTATGAATGTGGATGTGGCATGTGGGGAGAGGGGCACATGTGCTCCAGCGTGCAGGGAGAGGTCAGCGGAGACAACTGTGTGGAGCTGGTTCTCCTCCTTCGTCTTTGCTCGGCTTCTGGGAATCAGACTTGGGACATCAGACTTGAGTGGCGAGTGCTTCACCCACTGAGCGATCTCGCCAGCCCAGCAGGAATCTCTTTCGATAATACAGAGGGCTTGCAAGGTAGACCTGTAGCCCAGGGCTCTCAGGAAGCTCCATAGAGAAAAAGGATTAGGAAGACACCTGTTGCTCAGGTGGTCTCTGCTGCTGAATGGTTTTTGGCTCCCCACCCCCTCTCTGACCCACCAGTCTCCAGCCTGTCTGGAAGTACATGATGGGTGAACTGTTGCAGGGACAGCTCAGGCCCCTGCTCTGGGATAACAGGGCCATTTTCCTATCGTGGAAGCGGGCAGCGTGGAGAGCAGGTGGAGACTGGGTGGACTGTGTCGGTGCCCTCTGAGGTGTGCTGTGGAGACTGGGTGGACTGTGTCGGTGCCCTCTGAGGTGTGCCGTGGAGCCAGGAGAGTGTTGCCTGAGTGCTTTCCACCCTAGCAGTAACTTCCGGGAGCCAAGAGACAGGAGTCTTTCTCAGTGACTACAGCTGATAGTCCTCACAGAGATTGGCACAGAAGCCGACCCCGCCCATCCCTCTTTCCTTCTCCCAACAAAGACTTCCTGCCCTTAACCTCTGGACTGCCCAGCCCCTCCTTTCTGTCCCCATTCAACTGTTTGGCAGGGGCCCCCGCAGGGAGGTACACAGGCCAGCTAGGGGGGATGGGAGAGGCTGGCCTGTGCTGGGAGGCTCTTTTCCCTTCTAGCAGCTGGAGAGGGTGTAGTCTAGGAGACAGAGGGCCCTGGAGAAACACGCTCAGCCTCCAGCCTGCTATCTAGCCAAGGGACCCATTAGCTTGTGCTCACTCCCTGGCTGTTAGGTTGCCATACTGAAGATGGCTTGCCCATTAGCAGAGGAATGTCCAGCCCCCTCCCAGTGCCTTACCTTTTCCTTCACCCAAATGCCTGTGCTGACTTCTTTTGTATCAATCTCGGGGCCCAGAGCCATATTTTTAGAGCCCTAGTCACCTAGGCTCTGCTTTTGCCTGTGTCTGGGCTTGGTGACACACTCTAACCTCAGTGCTCAGGAGAAAGGCAGGTCACTGAGTTTGAGGCCAACCTGGTCTCTAAATGTACTTTTTTTCAAGACAGCCAGAGCTGTTAGCAAAAGACCCTGTTTCAAGCCAGCCAACCAACCAACCAACCAACCAACCAACCAACCCACCCACCCACCAAACCAAGAAAAGACCCAGGGACTCCCAGATCCCTGGTGTGCCTAAATGCAGGGTTGCCCTTAGTGGATCAGCAGCCTGTGGGATCTCTGTCACCTGGAAGGAAGGTGTTGAAATCCTGAGAAACCATTTCAGTTGGCCTTACCCTCTCCTGAGGGCACTGGTTTTTTTCCTTCCACCAGACTCCGAGCCTCCTGGAAGTCCCTGCTGGAATCCCTGCTGGTTCCCCTCCCCCTTGTAGAGTGTGCTGCTATTAATAAGGCACCAGTCCTCCCCTCCCTCCTCCATGAAGCTCTCGCCATCGTGAAAAGCTGCTTGTGGCTGGGTTGGCAGGGAACTCTGGTGGGTGCTGAGCTCAGCCACGGTGGGGCTCCCCACTTCGTCCAGTGACCTGGGTCGCGATGGACAGGTAGTCTGGGAAGAGAGCCAGTGTTTGTGTCCCACCAGGTACCGGGATGTCAGCATTTGCCCTCAGTGGGTCCCAAGCCCTTGACAACTTCTTTCATCTGTCCAAATGTCCCTCCATCCATCTGGCTGTCCTCTGCTGCGTCTTGCTTCTGTGCTCGCTCAGCACTGGCCTCCTCCGAAGGGACATCTCTCGGGTATCTGGTAAATTGTGGACCAACTTTTGCCTCTCAACCGCCTTTCTTCACCCTCCTCCTTCCTCTCTTCCCTCCTTCTCTCCCTCCCTCCCTCCTTCCCTCTCTCCCTCCCTCTCAGGGCTGCTGTTGCTGCCTGCTGCTGCCTCCTCCCCCCTCCCTGAATCTGCAGCGTGACTGGAAAGAGGCTGAATTAATCAGCAGATTGAAGCTCCGCTTTGCTGCGCCCAATTCTCTGCAGCACTGGCCTCGCTCACACACCTTCCAGCCGGCCTTCTCCCCTCTCATCTTCACACTCTCCCTCTCCTAGATCTCTCATTCTCTTCCGCTGCTTCCTCTACCCTTGCGGGCAGTGTTGGGAGTTACTATACTGCTTGTCCCTCAGGCTCTGCCCTATGCTCTTCAAGCAGGCAGAGCTATGGATACCCCACCAGGGCAAGCACAGCACGGTGAGTATCCTGGCTTCACTTTGAGAGTTCTAACAATGCCTTCTTCCCTGCTTACGACGGAGTCTTTGGTTTGTGGTTGCCAATGGAGTCCAGAAGATGCTGCAGAGCAAGAGGCAGCTAGACTGAGCCTGAGATAGCCAGGTCTCTGGAGGGAGATTGAAACTGAGTGCCAAAAAGCTAGCATGTCTTGGAATGGCCAGCCAGGTTTTCACGTTACCCAGAGCAGCTTTGGGGATTGAGTTTCCCAGAGGAGAAAAGAATTGTAGGACCAGCCAAAGGACACGAGGACCCAAAGGCTCCGTGTATATATAGGCAACAAAAACTCAGGGCCTGGATGCTATCACTTCTCTATAGTGAGGGGACTTTTTTTCTGCTGGATCACTCAGGTAACAGAGTCAGGGGTCAGGGTTGGGATGGCTTCTTCTGAGTTTCAGGGCTGCTGAAGATGGGTGAGGTCCGTGTGAGAGAGTACCAGGCTGCAGATGAGTCCAGATGTGCCCAGCCAGACTCGGAGCAATGGGTAGTGGCTGCCTCTGCCTCAGGGGCTCGGGGTTGTGCTGAGCTCATCACTGAGTCCGTCCTCTCCTCCTGTACTGATTAAGGCAGCTGTGAGGGGATGGCCTGGTGAGGGGCCAGCTAACTATAACTGGAGGTCCTCTGTTGTCAAGGTTACCAGTCGAGGTCTAACTTTGTAACCTGCCTTCCTGAATGTAAGGCCATGATTTTGTTGTTTCTGAAACAGGCAGAGTAGGAAGAACAGTTGCAGTGTGGAGAGAACTTCAGGTATGCTCTTCGGGGACACAGGCGAGGTGCTGGGGGCTTCTTGGCGAGGTGGGTGAACTCAGCTATTGGAAGGCTCGTTAGACAACTTGACCCGCCTTGGCGGTGGGGCCCTGCTCAGCACTAGGTTCCTGTTGGTGACTTGTCAGTCATCTTGCCCTCGTGGTCCCCGTGAGTGCTAAGTCTCGGTAGTACTCCTCTTTAGCGTCGAGACAGAGAAGCAGTCCCACTTATGATGGCAGCCAGCCTCCCTTGAGCAAGACTTCCTTTTTGCCTGGCATGGGGGGCAAATCTCAGTGCTTAGGAGGCAGAGGCAGGCAGATCTCTGACTTTGAAGTCAACATGATCTACATAGTGAGTTTCAGGCCAGCCTGGGCTACAGAGTGAGATCCTGTCTCAAAAAATGAACCAACCCAAACCAAACCAAACCCTGCCTTTCTGGCTCAGGTCGGTTCCCCTTTGCTCTGGCTGAATGTGAGCTCCAGCAGAAGTGGGAAGGACTGGTCTGCCTGAAAGACTTCACTGTCCTTCTGTCCTGGTCTCTCTGGGCTGCAAGCCTTGCTCCTGGCCCCAAGAATGTGTCTAGAGGTGCCAGCAGCAGGGAAAGGTGTTACTTTTTAGCATCCGATAGACAGGAGAGATCTCCTTAGCCGTGGGAACGTAATTAAGGCACATCAAACTGTCCCACCCTTCTCGACCTCAGTAGGTAACGACAAACAGACCGCACTAGCCTCTGTTGATTTACGTTATTTATTGTTTAGATAATAGGAACTTCCTGCAGTCTCTTCAAGGTGCCCAGGAACATGGAGTACCCTGTCTCACTCTGCTGAGAAGGCGGCTCTGCCTGCCTGTTCCCTTCCGACCTGTTCTGCCTCTCCTTCAGAATGTATGGCTTCCCACTGAGCTCCTTAGCTCTGGATCCTCTGCCACTCGGGCAAAGCTAAGACATACACTGAGGGAAGTAGAGATTTGACCCTTTACTCCGGCCCGTCTGCCACCGAGGGCTGAGCTGAGTAGGCTTAGCAGTTGACATAGTTGAAGCCTGGAGAGTAGACTGGCTCAGAAGGCTGCGTCTTCACCACGGGGCAGCCTGTGTGGGCAGGCACTTCCTTTGGGCAGCGTGTAATTACAGAATAGCTTATTTTCCCTGTGCTGCACCGTCTTTAATCCCCTGTCTGGAGTTGGTGCCCCCGCCCCCCCGGCCAGACACAACATGTGGGGGCAGAAGTGTGCAGACAGCTCTGGAGGTGTCCTGTCCAGGGGGCATCTGTTACCCTCTGACCATGCCTCCCTTACCTGGAGAAGAGCAGAGTCCCTGGGACAGGGAAGTCAAGTGAAGATTGGGTACCTAGTCCTGCGCATGGGGCTACAGAGAAGGAGGCAGTGATGTCAGGGTAGCCATGACAATGAGTGGGCTGCAGGCCTGGCTAGAGGAGGATTGCTTCCCTGCTTCTTTGGCTTCTCCTCAGAGGATTTTCTCAGTCTTCCTGGGAACTGCTCCCTCCTGGGCTTGAGGTCCAGCAGCTCCCCAGATATCCTTATGGCTCTGTGCATTTTGCCCGCATCCTCTTTCCTTCTTTGTCTTGGTTTCTTGCGCATGCCGCCCTTATCTCTTCCTGTGGTCCACCCTCCCTCCACAGTTGTACACTTCATGACTCGCAGAGGTGTGCTCTCTGAATGCTTTCCATCCCAGGAACTCTGGGATCAGGCTCTGGAGGAAAAGCTGGGGACTGAGTCCAAGAGAGCGGGAGTGGGTGAGGGAAGGTGCTAGGAGCCCAAGCTTCTTACTCTGGCTCCAGATCCTCCTCCCTCCCTCCTTTGACAGGGAGAACAGGCCCAGCCTGCCCTTTGTAGCCATCTCCTTGTCTTTCTTCTCTAGAGCCCCATGGAGGCCTCTATCCTTCTGGAAGCTTGTATAATAGACCCTAGATGCACTGAATATGTGCTTGCTTTGGACCCTGGGCTCCAGAGGGCCAGAGGTCCTACTGGATTTAGGTAAAGAAGCTAAGAATCTTATAGTGAACACATTCTGGAAAGCTGAGGTACCCATTGACAGGCAATAACTGGGGATTCTATTCATGTGCAGTTCAAGGTATGTGGCACTGGGTCCCTGCCCCTCAAGCCTGGCAGCTTCTTAAAGTCATGCAGGTGTGTGTCCCCCCAGGGTCAAAGCTAAGTGAGACCCAGGAGAAAGCCAGGGGATACTAGGAACTAGGAACTAGGGCAGAAGGAGAAGTGCAGAATGACAGTAGGCGAAGCTGGAGCAGGTCCTGCAGAGGGCAGACATGGGGACATTGGTGTGGAGAGGTACGACAAGGAGTCCAGGCAGCAAGGCCAGTGTGTCCCCACGGCCCTCATTGGGGTTTCTCAGTAGACAGCCGTGAGGAGTCTCAGTGCAAGGATACACTGTTTTTGCTTCGACTTTTCCTGATGAGAGCTCCACAGGTGGTGTCTTAGGGTTTTAGTGCTGTGAACAGACAGCATGACCAAGGCAAGTCTTGTGAGGACAACATTTAATTGGGGCTGACTTATAGATTCAGAGGTTCAGTCCATTATTATCAAGGCAGGAACATGGCAGTGTCCAGGCAGGCATGGTGCAGGAGGAGCTGAGAGTTCTACATCTTCATCTGAAGGCTGCTAGTGGAAGACTGACTTCCAAGCCAAAGTGACACACCTATTCCAACAGGGTCACACCTCCTAATAGTGCCACTCTCTGGGCCAAGCTTATACAAATCATCACAGGTGGCCTCTGGGAAATACCTGTTACCCCTCAGGAACTCTGCCTCTTGAGCCCATTCAGTGCCTTAACATTTGGAGCTGCAGACTCCGCCTCCCGCCCCCCTCAGCTTCATCCCAGAAGCTTTGATGCAATGTCGTCAGGATGGTGCCTGGTGTCTTTGACAGCTGCCGGTACTGATGCAGGCTTTGCGTTGACATCCTTGACTAAAGTGTCACTGGGGTTGCTGAAAGAATGTGTGCGGTCATCCATTCTCACATCTGTTCAACAGGTGTAAGTGTGGTACCCTCTGCTGTGGTTCAGTGAGGAAGGGCTTATGGTGACAGGAGAATGCAGTACCTATTTTCAAGGAAATTAAGGTGCAGTAGTAGAGCCAGACATACAGCTGAGAGCCAGGTTATGCCAGTGCTATCAGAGTACAAACCTGAAGTGAAGCCCTGGGCTTTAAGGATTGCCCCTCCCACAGGAGGTGACATTTGAGCTGACTTGAAGAAGAAGAGTTGTCGGGTGGCAAGGGTATCGTCCTTGGCTAGGAAGTACTCGAAGGCCTTTGCACAGGAGCAACAGGAGCTACACAAACTTCAGAAGGGAGGTGCTGGGCGGCCGCAGAGCCTATGGCCTTTCAGAGCAGGCACAAGGGTATGCAGTGGGTTTTAACAGTAGAGAGGTGGCTGGAGAGGTGACTCGAGATCATGGTGCCTGCCATCACACCTGATGACACAAGCTAGGTCCCTGGGATCCATCTGACAGAAGGAAAGGACTGACTCCTGAAAGTTGTCCTTTCACACAGTCGATCAAATGTGACACAAATGGAACCATGCAGGGAGTCAGCCATTGAGGGTTCTTTCTCTGGCTGGGGCATGGCAGTGGGTTTGGAGAAGGTTGAAGATGAGGCGGGAGGGAAAGCGGTGTGTGTAGGCAGGGGAACCATGGAGCCTGGGATGCTGCACAGGGGACTGGGGAGTGGCAGTGTGGGGGGAGAGGTGACTCGGGCAGGGAGGGTTGGGGTGAGTCTGGAGTTTTGGGTATTTCCTGTTTCCTGTGAAGCAGGTCAGTAGATTGGCTTGTATCTGGAACAGGGGACTAGCTGGGAGTGAAGTGTAGACTTTGAAAGCACGTAGGTGGAAGGTGAATCCACAACTGACAGGGACCTCCCTGGAAACAGTCAGCCGTTGTGGGGATGGGCTGTGGGAAGAAGAGTTGGAGTCAAAGAAGGAGGAAACAGAGCCGGGGGCACACCTTAATCCAACGCTCGGGAGGCATAAGCAGGCAGATCTCTTGTCTCAGGTCAGCCTGGTTTACATTGAGAGTTCTATGACTACACAGAGCAACACGGTGAAACTCTGTCCAAAAAACAAATCAAAAGAGGAGACAGGAATGGGTGGTTCTCAGCAAACAGTGGACTGGCTGTGAGGTCCCTCAGCTGACCATGACTGATCCCCTGCTCAGGGCAGCTGTGGGGACAGGAGAGTGTGCCGGAGCCAATGTGCTCTTTCCCTAAGAGCAGCTAGTTGCCTTTTTCCTGAGGTTATGTCCTGCCTAAATCTTTTAGTGTTAAAAAATTCTGTTTTGCAAAATAGTGGTATTGGAAGGTAAAGGTGGTAGGGTTTTCTATTTTTTTTTCCTTAATTTTTAAAAATGATTACATTTATTTGTGTGTGTGTGTGTGTGTGTGTGTTTATGTGTGTGTGTAGGTCTTGAACAACTTGGTTGTCTCCTTCTACTGTGTAGCTCCTTTGAACTCGGGGCATCGTGCTTAGCTGGCCTTTCCCGGCAGAGCCGTCCCATCAGACAGAGTTAGCTAACATCTCTGAATCAGTTCTCTTAGAGCAGTAGATCTCACGGGGCGTGTGATGCACACCTGTAATCCTAGCACTTAGGGGGCTCTCTGAGCTCAAGGCCAGCCTAATCTACACATGGAGAGTTCCAGGACAGCCAGGAGTACACGAACCTGCCTCAAACAAACCAAACCAACACCACCACCAACAACAAAGAAATAGATGTCTTTTGGTCTTTGAAATCTGAAAGACCCATGAAGTAAAATGGGGGTAGGGAGTAGGAGCAAGAAGAGTCTGCTGGGGCAGGAAGACTGTCCCGCTCTGTGGGTCAGGAACTGGATGAGCAGACTGAGTTGACAGTAAATGAAAAAAAGAGATAAAAGGAAGGATGTGGCTGCTCCTAGGTGTGGTGGAGGAGGAAGTTTATTATAGATGGAAGAGGGAGCCTAACCAGAGGCTATGTGATAGAGTCCAGAGTGGACGTGACTGGGAGTCATGTGAGGAGAGCGGGGAGGGCAGGGAGAGGGGAGAGGGGAGAACCAGGTGCAGCAGCCAGGAGGGCAAAGGTATAAAAGGGGCAGGTAACCAAAATGGAGAAGAGCTCAGGGTGTGCAAGCAGGAGGATCCTGTAACAGGTATGGGCTGAGGGATGCTGGGAGAACATGGCCGCCAGGTTTGCTTTGATATGTTAATAGGCTCCTCAGCCTTTTTTCCCAGGGTTTGAAACTTAAGATGGCTTTAAGAAGGGTAGGGAGTCTGGAGGGGGAGGATGAGCCTGAGGTCATGAGTCTGAGTCAGTCTGGGCAGGACCCTGGGGAGACGCTGACTGTTTCTGATTTCTTGCAGGGAGAGCCCCCCGTGGCCCTGGGCCTGTCTACCAGGAAGGCCCTCAGTGTCCTGAAGGAGCAGCTGGAGGCTGTATTGGAGAAACACCTCAAAGAACGGAAGAAATGTCTTACCTGGAAGGTGACACTCCCTCAGGGGTGGGAAGGCAGAGAAGCAGGGAGCCCCGTCTCAGGGATGTGCTTGTCCCCTAGATAGAGAAGACTCAACTGAAACTTGATGCAATCAGAAGTTCCAGTTTGCTGGGATGATGTTCTACTCCACTTGCTGGAGGTGGCCATGAGATCTGGGCAGGCCCGAGGCCTGAGAGGTAGAGGGGAACTGGCTGGGCTACTCACCGTCCACCCGCCTGTCACTCCACTCTAGGAGGCCTGGAGAAGCAGCTTCCTGCACCTTGGTAACCGCTGCTCCTGTTTCCACTGGCCCGGGGCTTCCCTCATGCTCCTGACTGGGCTGCTGCTGCTGTGTTGCTGTGGGGGCCAGCCAGCTGGGAGGTGAGCAGGGGCCATGAGGGGCCGTAGTGACCTGGGTATAGAGGAATACCCTCTCCCTTGACTGGTGACAGAGACCTGCCCACAGCCAGGAAGCAAGCAAGGCTGCTTTCAAACGTGGCTAGACGAATGGGTCATCCATCTTGGGGTGTGGGGCTGGCTGGGAGGCCTTCTCCCTGGACACTCATGGTGTTCCCTGCGTCTCTCAACACCAGCCGCGGAGTGGAGCTGGTAAACGCCTCTGCTTTGCTCCTGTTGCTGCTTCTCAACCTCATCCTCGTTGGGCGGCAAGATCGGCTGAAGCGCCAGGAGGTGGAGCGCAGGCTCCGGGGGATCATTGACCAGATCCAAGGTGAGGCTGGGGGTCAGGTCAGCCTGGAGGAAAGATGGCCTGTGACGAGCCAGAGAGCCTTCGGGAGCTTAGGATGGTCCTGTCCTCGAGAGCAGGATGGAGAGGATTATAGGATAGCTGGCCACCTATAGCGAGAGGGAAGTGGAGAGGTTTTCTTCCCATTTCTGTCTTGTCCACTGGTACTGGCCCAGAGGAGTGAGGAGCTACGGTGCCCATTAGAAACAGGGCTGAGCAGAGAGCTGGGGCCCCGATGAGCAGCCAGTACTCAAGGAGATGAGTGTTCCGAAGGACAGGGTACTGACCACGCTCTGTCCAGCCGTCATGTACTGAGTCTGGCTGTATGTAGCTCAAGGCTTTGTTCCTCAGGGGACTCCTAGTGACAGAGAAGCCGCAGCACTTGCTTTCTGTGGGTTCTTCTCTGAAATGCATGGGCAGTAGATAAGTGCTCACCAAGAATGTATTTGTTTGCTTACGTGTTCTGAAATGATGAATTAGTTGTATGTAACCATGTACCTGGCACCGGAAGTATGAGGTAAGCCGGGAAAATGGGCCCTGTTCTCTGTGAGCTCAGTCTCCTGCTCAGCAGCACAGTCCCCAACTATTTTTTTTGTTTGTTTGTTTTTGACTATGATAGGATCCCCTGCTTGTCTCTGCAGTGGAGCCACCAGTAAGGAGAGAGGCAGGATTAGACAAAGTCTCCCTGTTGGCCCGATTGCCCACTGGCTACACAGTAACAGATAAGCAGTCTAGACCCAGCCAGTCAGGTCTAGGGTAACAGGTGCCTTCTGTGGCTCCCTCCTGCTTCTCCAGAACATTCCAGATGGACATTCAGCTCCATGCTGTCCCTCCATGCCTGTCCCCATGCTGTCCCTCCATGCCCGTCTCCATGCTGTCCCTCCATCCCTGTCCCCATGCTGTCCCTCCATGCCCGTCTCCATGCTGTCCCTCCATCCCTGTCCCCATGCTGTCCCTCCATTCCTGTCCCCATGCTGTCCCTCCATCCTTGTCCCCATGCTGTCCCTCCATGCCCGTCTCCATGCTGTTCCGTCCTGGCAGCCATCTCTTGTTGCCTACAGATAGGTGTACTCCTTCTTACTCCCTCCCCACCACCCAGTGTAATTCTTGATGTACTTGGCACTAGGGAAGGATTCTCAGGGAAGGTAGTGTTGAAGTATGTGGTGCATTTGCACGCGTAGAAAAGGCTGTACAGACCCGGGCTGTTGTTTCTGTTTTCATCAGATGCTCTCAGGGATGGAAAAGAGATCAAGTGGCCGAACTCCATGTACCCAGACCTCCATATGCCCTTTGCACCTTCCTGGTCCCTGCACTGGGCTTACAGAGATGGACACCTGGTGAACCTGCCAGTTAGCCTGTTGGTAGAAGGAGACATCATAGCCCTGAGGCCTGGCCAGGAGTCCTTTGCCTCCCTGAGGGGCATCAAGGTAGTGGAAACAGCTGGGGGAGTATCTAAAATTAGGAGTCCTTAGGCTTGGGGCAGGACTGGAACCTCCGCCTCCTGCTGCTCTGTCTGTTCTTGGATTCTTAAGCCCTAGAAACCCAAGTCCCACAGGGCCCACCCCAACAGGCTCATTGCTAGTTAGCTGAACTTGGGAGCCATTTCTACTTAGCTGGCACTGTCCAGGAAGAGTGGTCTTGCCAACTATGGTGATACACACTTGTAACTCTAACACTGTTGAGGCTGAGGCAGGACTGAGAGTTCGTGGGGAGTATGAACCACACAGTGAGACTGTCTTAGAAACCTAAAACAAAACAGCTCCCCGTCCCCACCTCCCCACTCCCCCCCATCCCCCAAATCCATCCCAATGCACTCTGATGGATTCCTTCCACTCCGCATCAATGCTGACAGGATGACGAGCACATCGTCTTGGAGCCGGGAGACCTGTTCCCCCCCTTCTCTCCACCACCCTCACCCCGTGGAGAAGTAAAGAAAGGGCCCCAGAACCCCCAGCAACACCGGCTCTTCCGAGTCCTGGAGACGCCTGTGATTGACAACATCAGGTAGCTCTGTCACTCTCCTTGTCCTGTGGTCTCCTCTTCTAGTGCTTCCAGTCCGTCCGTCCTCCATTCCTGGCCCTGCCCATACCAGGCACCTCTTCGGCCTCTCGTGAGCATTTTAAGCTTGAAGGAGTGCCTATGGAGGTGGGCCTATCCCCTCTCTCAGGGCACTATGTGGTTCAGGCTGGGGCCAAGGCTGACTAGGGAATGACAGGACCTGGAGGCATTTGGTGAAGTGTGTCCAGGAGGGAGGCCCAGAACCCTTTCCAGCTGTTGCTGTCGGGCATCCTCCTGAAGAGAGCCTGAGGGTCACCTCTTTTGCAGATGGTGCCTGGACACAGCCCTGTCCCGCCCAGTCACTGCTCTAGACAATGAAAGATTCACAGTCCAGTCGGTGATGCTTCACTATGCTGTGCCGGTGGTCCTGGTGTGTGGGGCTGTAGGGGAGGGGTGTGAGAGGGCAGACATGGGTGAGCTGCGGGGGCCCAGCCCAGGCGAGAGTTCATGTAGAAGGCTGTGTGAACCAGCAGTGTGAGTGGCAAAGGAAGGGCCTGCAGCTCAGGGCCTCCCTGGGGGATTAAGACTGCGCCCATCCTGTCCACATAGGCTGGCTTTCTCATCACGAATGCCCTGCGCTTCATGTTCAAGGCACCTGGGGTCACTTCCTGGCAGTACACCCTTCTCCAGCTCCAGGCAAGGACGGTCCTCTCCTCCCTGCCATTACGTTCTGCTCTGTTCCTCCCTCGGGTTTTTCCTCCCTTCCTTTCTGCTCCCCAATAGCTGAATGGCTGTTTCTTTCTCCCCGGGGGATGGCTGTGTAGCAGGGCATCCCTCCCCTTCCTCCCCACGTTGTGGCAGCAGCTCCTTAGGATCCCTGGGTATGGTTCACTCTTTGTCAGGTAAATGGCATGTTGCCCATCCTCCCTCTGCTCTTCCCAGTCCTCTGGGTCCTGGCCACTGCCTGTGGAGAAGCTCGTGTCCTGGCCCAAATGAGCAAGGCTTCGCCCAGCTCCCTGGTAGGTTGTTCCCGAGCATCTAGAGGACAGTGGCAGAGCAGAACAGTTAACTGGCTGGCCAGGAAGTGGGGCATGGGTCCAGTTCCACCTTGTTTCTAACATGCTAGGTTCTGGGAAGATCTGTATGGGTCCAGGTACTTTCTGTTACCAACTGGGTTCCAGGCCTAAGTGTGGGTCCCATCGGTGGGGAGTTGGGATTGCCTGATGCTCTTTACCCGAGGGTTAGCAGCCTCGCTAGTACACAGTGATGGATAAGGAGGGCTTTGTGAGGTGGGTTTTTTTCTCCCTGATGCTCACCCTGTCTCTGCAGCTGGCCAAGTTCTCAGAGGACACTCTCAGCAGCTATACTGAAGCCGTCTCCTCTCAGGTAAGCTGCTGAGATAGAGATTTTCCTCTAGGCCCCTGCAGGCATGAAGTCCGGTGTCCTCCTTTTCGGATCTCTGTGATTCTGCTGAGGCCTTGACCCTCTACCATCCTATCCATGTTGGGCATGACCTAGGCCTGAACCTGTATTAATATGTTGTCCTAGAACCCCACTTCCCAGCATCCCCCTGGGCTTTTCTTGATCTGGGCCTATGGACTGTCTCCAGGGAAATAAGGCTGTGCCCCCAAAGCCTCACAGACCGTCTTGTCTCCATCAGGAAATGCTGCGTTGCATTTGGGGTCACTTCCTGAGGGTCATCCAGGGCACGTCACCAACACTGAGCCACAGTGCCAGTTTGCTGCATAGCTTGGGCTCTGTTACGGTGAGGAGGGTCTGCTGGGTGGCTGCCCTGTTACACTAGGCCTTTTGGCTGGATCTGGCTTGTTCATCTCTTATGCGTGTGGCCACTGGGCAGTTAGACTAATACTGAGTCTTTCTAATCCTCCTTCTCTCCCTACAGGTACTGTGCTGTGTAGACAAACAGGGAATCCTATCATGGCCAAATCCCAGCCCAGAGACTGTGCTCTTCTTCAGCGGGAAGGTGGAGCCCCCCCACAGTAGCCACGAGGACCTCACAGACGACCTGTCTACCCGCTCCTTCTGCCATCCCGAGGTAGAGGAGGAGGTAGGACCGGCTCTCATGGGTTAGCTTGGACTGCATAGCCTGTGGCTCTGGGAGAGAGGTTTAGAAGGGCTCAGGATTCCTGGCAGCTTCTTCTGCCTGCTTAAGATGAAGGATAAGAGACCAGGCATGGCACAGGGCTTTAATCCCAGCACTTGGGAGGCAGAGGCAGGAGGATTTCTGAGTTTGAGGCCAGCATGGTCTACAGAGTGAGTTCCAGGACAGCCAGGGCTACACAGAGAAACCCTGTCTCAAAAAACAAACAAACAAACAAACAAAAAACAAAAACAAAAGAAAACACAAAGGCTAAGACAGATAGAAGCCCAGAACTGCCCTGTGTGCGCCTCCCTGGTCCTAGGGAGCCATGGGACTCCAGCGCTAGCCCTGTGCTCCTGTTCTCCTCAGCCCCATGAACGTGATGCCCTCCTTGCTGGCTCCCTGAACAATACCCTGCACCTTTCCAACGAGCAGGAGCGTGGTGACTGGCCTGGTGATGTCCCCAAGCCCTCTGAGCCCTACTCTCATCACAAAGGACATGGCCGCAGCAAACACCCTTCTGGTTCCAATGTGAGCTTCAGCAGGGACACTGAAGGCGGAGAGGAAGAGCCCAGCAAGGTGAGGGGAGGGAGACGGGGTAGAGGAGCCACCGTGTCTGTCGCATGCCTTCCTGCTTCCCTGCCAAAGTGAAAAAGTTCAGTTTGAGGCAATAGGATCTGCAAGAGCCCTGTGCAGCCCTTCTTGTAGCTCCAGGCCAGGTCAGCAGGATGACCCCTGAGGTCTGACCCGAGGCTTCTCTGGGATGGGGCTTTGTCCACATCCAGTTCTTCCCCAGGTTAGCAGCCTTCTAGTTAGGATCTTCTAAACACATATAGTTGTAAGTCCCTGTCAGGTGTCACCATGTTAACATAGACCCCTTGTCCCCTCCCTGTGTGAGCACTGCCAGGCTTGTTGGATGTTCTATTGTTGCTTAACCAATGGCCAGAGATAATGGGTACAGATCCTAAACAGAATCCGGAGGCCACAGTGAGGCTCTCAGCAGTCATAGGAGAGTGTGGGGACCGGCCCTCCTGAGGATGGTGGGCTTTCTCCTGAGGCTAGTTCTGGGCCTGTTTGGGTATCAGAGCCTTCCCCCACTTCCTCCCAGCCTGGGGCTTCCCTTACCCTCACATCTCCTCCAGGCCCAGCCTGGGACAGAGGGTGACCCCTATGAGGCCGAGGACTTCGTGTGTGACTACCACTTGGAGATGCTGAGCCTGTCCCAAGACCAACAGAACCCCTCATGCATCCAGTTTGATGATTCCAACTGGCAGCTACACCTTACCTCCCTCAAACCCCTGGGCCTCAATGTGCTCCTGAACCTGTGTAACGCCAGCGTCACCGAGCGCCTGTGCCGCTTTTCCGACCACCTGTGCAACATCGCCCTGCAGGAGAGCCACAGCGCCGTGCTGCCTGTGCACGTGCCCTGGGGCCTCTGTGAGCTGGCCCGTCTCATCGGTAAGGTGGGCGCTGTGGTACTGGGGCGGGACCGCCTGAGTGGCAGCTGGCCTTTCAGAGCAGGCCTGGCACTGACTGTCCTTGGCATGGCATTCGTTGGTTATGAGCACTGCCAGTCTCAGCTTTCTAGTCTGGCAAGATGCATCGTTCCCAGGGCATAGAGATGAGGGGAGCTGGCCAGGCCAGCCAGAGCCCACCCTTCCGCCTGTGCCACAGCGCGAGGTCCTTGTTCACAGGCTTCACTCCGGGGGCCAAGGAGCTCTTCAAACAGGAGAACCACCTGGCACTCTACCGCCTCCCCAGCGCCGAGACCATGAAGGAGACTTCACTGGGGCGGCCCTCCTGTGTCACCAAGCGGCGTCCCCCACTCAGCCACATGATCAGCCTCTTCATCAAAGACACTGCCACCAGTAAGCCTCACTTCAGCTCAGCTGGCATCTAGACAAACCTTCCAAGGCTTGGTGTGCCACAGACTAGACCCTGTCCCATGTACTCAGGGGAGGGAGGCTAAGTCAGGTGAATGCTAGGCCGCTCTCCAAGTCCTCTGATGTGGACTGGGCTTGGAGACCGGAGTCACGGAGAACGGGATTCTCCAAAGGATGTGGATTGTAGTGCTTAGTCAGCCAGTGTTCCATGTGGCTCGCTGACCAGGAGGCCCATCCCTCTATCAGGAATACCTCTGTATCCTCTGTACGGAAGGACTGTAATATGCTAGGTCAGAGGAAGGCAGGAGACGGTGTGGCCTCATGGGGTCCATTCCCCACCACAGGCACAGAGCAGATGCTGTCCCACGGCAGTGCTGATGTGGTCGTGGAGGCCTGCACAGACTTCTGGGATGGCGCTGACATCTACCCTCTGTCGGGCTCAGACAGGTGAGGGAGGGGCCTGGCTGCTCTGCTTGCCTGTCTGATGGTTGTGGACCTCTCAAGATCCCTTGGCTACTCCTCCCTACTTCTCTGACAGAAAGAAAGTGCTGGATTTCTACCAGCGAGCCTGTCTATCCGGTTATTGCTCTGCCTTTGCCTACAAGCCCATGAATTGCACGCTGTCCTCTCAACTTAACGGCAAGTGCATCGAGCTGGTGCAGGTACCCGGCCAGAACAGCATATTCACCATGTGCGAGCTGCCCAGCACTGTTCCCATCAAGCCAAACATCCGCCGCAGCAGCTGGAGCTCTGATGGTACCGTGAACTTCCGTCTGTCTCAGTGGGAATGGCACAGGGCTTCCTGGGGCCGAGAAGCCCAGAATCTAATTGGGCTTCAGAGGGCCATGGTGCCACTCAGCAGACAGTGCCATGGGCAGTCACAGGAATCGGTGTGCCAGTGTGGCACTCACTAGCTCGTGATACGGAGAATTTAGTCTTTCCTCATCTAAAACTTAGCTCTCAAATGACATTAGATACCAGCCCAAGTCCAATCTGTTAGACAGAGGGACATAGACTTTAAGTCACACCCCCAAGCATACACCTTTGGCCATGTCTTACAAGCCTAGGAGAGCATGCGCTGAGGGTGGGACCAGCCACCTAGCCCTGGATCAGGGCTGGGCCGGAGCTGAGCCGTGCTTAGCCTGGCTCCCCAGTCTGGTCACCTCTCTGATGAGAACTTCTCGTTGTCTTCTCTCTTATGTGTGTTGGCTCTTAATGTGTCCCGGCTCCGTGTGCACCTGTGTGGCTGTGTGTGGTCCCCCGGGGCCCTTATGCTCACTGATTTGGGTGCGGCCTCAATGTGTGTGGCCCTGGGCTGCATCCTGGAATCTGCTGGCTCCTCCATGTCCTGACTGGGCTGTGTCCTGGTTGTCTTGCCACATGCCGGCTGGCTTTTGTATCTTGTGCCTGCCTGAAGAAGGGATCGGGGAGGTGCTGGAGAAGGAAGACTGCATGCAGGCCCTGAGCGGTCAGATCTTCATGGGCATGGTGTCCTCCCAGTACCAGGCCCGGCTGGACGTCGTGCGTCTCATCGATGGGCTGGTCAACGCCTGTATCCGCTTTGTCTACTTCTCTTTGGAGGATGAGCTCAGGAGCAAGGTGGGAAGAGCCTTCCTGTTTGTCCCCCGACGTCCGTGAGGCCTTCCGCTCACTGACGTCTGCTTTCACAGGTGTTTGCAGAAAAGATGGGCCTGGAGACAGGCTGGAACTGCCACATCTCCCTCACACCCAACGGTGACATGCCTGGCTCTGAGATCCCTCCCTCCAGTCCCAGCCATGCCGGCTCTCTCCATGATGACCTGAATCAGGGTGAGGACAAAGGCTTGTGTCAGGGATGGGGCAACTGGAAAGATCCCCCTGTTGGGAAGTGCAGTGAGGAGAAACTTACATAGGTCCCTCCTGTAAGCACACTCCCTCAGGAAATAGCCCCACATCCCTGTGGGCAGTGACTGGGCTGTTAAAGGTGGAGAGTGGAGGACAAGGCTGTGCACCATTTGCAGGGCATGGCTCGGCCTTCTGGAAGGCTGGCCCAAGGTGAGAACTGGCTCTCCTCCCCACAGTGTCCCGAGATGATGCAGAAGGGCTCCTCCTCTTAGAGGAGGAGGGTCACTCAGACCTCATCAGCTTCCAGCCCACCGACAGCGACATCCCCAGCTTTCTGGAGGACTGCAACCGGGTATGACCATGGGCTTTGTCCTGTGTCCTTGAAGTGGACTGACCTGATTCAGGACGAGAAAGGCAGCAGCAGGAGGAGGAGGAGGAAGAGAAGGAGGAGGAGGAGGAGGAGGAAGAGGAAGAGGAGGAAGAAGAAGAAGAGGAGGAGGAGGAGGAGGAGGAGGCGGCCATGGTGGTAGGAGAGGTGATTTTCTGTTCCCTATCCTGAGACTACTGACATCTCTGCTTCCTCCAGGCCAAGCTGCCCCGGGGCATCCACCAGGTGCGGCCCCACCTACAGAACATCGACAACGTGCCGCTGTTGGTGCCCCTCTTCACCGACTGTACCCCTGAGAGTGAGTGCTGTGCCACCCCCTTCCCCTGCAGGGGTAGGCACGATATCCCTCAAGAGAGTGGAGTGGGAGAGTCTGGGCTGGGTCTGGCTGGGGATCCAGCGGGGTGATGCCGTGGGCATTTCAGGGAGCCCGCTGTGAATGCTCCTGTGCTCCTGCTGCGGGGTGGGGTTGCTCCACAGAGGGCTGCTCTCCCCTTTGCTCCCTGTGGTTTGGCCTGTGGGTTTCTCTAGCACCTGCACGGGGCTCCTCTTGCCTGATTCCTGTGACCCTTCCTCCCCGCAGCCATGTGTGAGATGATAAAGATCATGCAGGAGTACGGGGAGGTGACGTGCTGCCTGGGCAGCTCGGCCAACCTGCGGAACAGCTGCCTCTTCCTCCAGAGTGATGTCAGGTCAGGGAGAGACACTGGGGCTGGGGGCCAAGCTCTGCTTCTCAGACCCTGGGTGGACAGGCCTATATGTAGCTAGGGGCTTGCCTTGGCTCAGACCCAGAGACCTGGGTCTGTCAGGAGAAGAGGAATGGGATGCTCCCATCTTGTGGTATCCAGTGTCGAGTATAGTTCATGGTGGATTTTCCCTCTACTGAGCAGCATTGCCCTGGACCCCTTGTACCCGTCCCGCTGCTCCTGGGAGACCTTTGGCTATGCCACCAGCACCACCATGGCCCAGGCCTCGGATGGCCTTTCTCCCCTGCAGCTATCAGGGCAACTCAACAGCCTGCCTTGCTCCCTGACCTTTCGCCAAGAAGAAACCATCAGCATCATCCGGCTCATTGAACAGGTGGGTCTCAGGAGGTATTGGGGCGTGGCCCTGAGGGCAGAACATGATAGTTCTGGGACCTCCAGACCTCATGCCTCCTGCCTGCTTGGCCTGTGTGGGAGGGACCAATGAATCTCCCCAGGGCACCTGAATCCGTCTCTGCTCCTTCCTCCTGAGAGCGCCGTGGGCATGTGGCTCTTAGCTGAGGCTTGTTTGTTATAGGGCCTGAGAGGGGCCGGGCGTGCCTGCATCATAACCTGTGCCTCTTGATCCTTAGGCTCGGCATGCTACCTATGGCATCCGTAAGTGCTTCCTCTTCCTGTTGCAATGTCAGCTGACCCTTGTGGTCATTCAGGTAAGCCAGGCTCTGTACAGGCAATGCCCCTCTTAGTAAGGAAGGGACAGTTAAAGAGTCTGAGGAGTCTGGGGGTGCAGGATAGTCATGAGCCTCTGTGTATCCCTCGGCTTTTGAGAGGACCCCACTTGTAGAAGTGTTCTCTTGTTCCTGGTCCCCTGGGTCAGAATGTTGATTCTTGGGCCAGGCCAAGGTAGACAGCCTTGAGGTCTACAAATGTGACGTTTTCTTTCCTGCTTTAGTTCCTTTCTTGTCTGGTCCAGCTGCCACCTCTCCTGAGTACCACAGACATCTTATGGCTGTCCTGCTTTTGTTACCCTCTGCTCAGGTGAGAAGCCTTGAAGCCCCTCTGTGCCCGGCCAGTGAGCTTGGGGTATCAGTGGGCATCCCACGGGGCCCAGAGTTTTCTGGCAGGATGGCTCAGGGCTCACCTCTGGCGCAAGGAGGCACTGATGCAAGGCCCTTTGTCTTACCTCTCCTCACTACTGGACTTTATCTCACTGCCAAGAGTCCCTGTAGGCGTCCCCTCTGAGAGTTGGGAGACAGGTAGTAACCTCTGTCCCTCTGCCCATACTTAATTTCAGCATCTCTCTATTGGGGAAACCACCACACAGCTCCATCATGTCTATGGCAACAGGCAAAAACCTTCAGTCCATTCCTAAGAAGGTAAGCAAGGCAGACCCTGATTACCAGGGCTCCTCAGAGGGGCCGTAGCACTGGGGCTGGGAGTAGGCCTAACTTGGAAGATTCTGCAGAGGCCAGCAATCTAGAGAGGTGGTGGCCAAAACGGAGAAAGAGCCTTGCGGGAATGTGGTCCCTAGTCCTCTTCCCCGTAGACGTGACCACTTATTTGCTGAGGGCTTGCTAACCATTTAGAGAAGATGAACAGGTACCAGGCCTGCCCTGTAGCCTGCAGAAGGCCGCCCACCCTAGGACCGACTGTCCCCCCCGTGTGCCGCAGACACAGCACTACTTCCTGCTCTGCTTCTTGCTCAAGTTCAGCCTTACCATCAGCTCGTGCCTTGCCTGCTTTGGCTTCACCCTGCAGAGCTTCTGTGACAGCTCCCGGGCCCGCAACCTCACCAACTGCTCCTCGGTCATGCTTTGCAGGTGGGTCTTGGGGATCCTCCCCTGACCCCCACCCCAGCCCCCACCCCCAGCCCCACCCCGTGGGCCCTCAGGAGGCTGAGCCTTTGTCTTCCTTTGTCAGCAATGATGACAGAGCTCCAGCCTGGTTTGGGGATTTCGCCAATGGGTTGCTGTCGGCTCAGAAGCTCACAGCTGCCCTGATTGTTTTGCACACTGGTAAGGACCCTGCTGCACAGGGGCTGTGGTGAATGGGGGGGCAAGACTTTGGGAAGCCTTGACACCCCATTGGCCAATCTTTCTAGTCTTTATCTCCATCACCCATGTCCATCGAACCAAGCCTCTGTGGAGAAAGAGCCCTTTGACAAACCTCTGGTGGGCGGTGACAGTGCCTGTGGTGTGAGTAGTGTTTGATGGTGGACAGTGCTGGGGTCCCAGGTGGGAGGAAGATAGCGGTCTGGCCGCCCCCTTCAAGTAGTTGTACTCAGAAAGCAGGGAAGAAAGCAGGAGGACTCTGGGCTCACCTCACACAGGGCTGTTTCCTCCCACAGGCTGCTCGGTCAGGTGGTCCAGACAGTGGTGGACCTGCAGCTGTGGACACACAGGGACTCACGTGTCCACTTTGGCCTAGAAGATGTGCCCCTGCTAACATGGCTCCTGGGCTGCCTGTCCTTGGTCCTTGTGGTAGTCACCAATGAGATTGTAAAGCTACATGAGATTCGGTGAGCTTGTAGCTCCACTGGACTGTCTGTCCCCTGAGCCTGTCACCTCAGTGCCGGCACCCTGCTCAGTCCTCTAGTAAGAATGTCTACACCAGCCTGTTTGTTTTCCTGGCGCTGGAGTAAGCCAGCTCCTGTAATACACTCCACCGCTGGCTAGAGCCCTGGCACTCTTTACCTAGTAACCTAGATAGGTCTTGATCTCATAATCCTCCTGCCTCAGCCTTCAAGTAGCTAGAATTACAGGCCTGAGCCACCAGACCAAGCTGGCAACTGTATCTCAATCTTGTTTCACCAGGGTCCGAGTCCGCTATCAGAAGCGCCAGAAGCTGCAGTTTGAGACTAAGCTGGGCATGAACTCTCCCTTCTGAGCCGTTGGGCAAGGCGGCCATAGTTGCCCAGCTTCCTGGGGCTAGAGCCAGACCTACTGGGAAGTTGGCATCATGAACGTTTCAGGGTTTGTCTTTGTACCTCATGGCACTGGAGACTACTGTCTTCCTGACTGCGGCCTTTCATGAAGAAGCCGACAGGTTGTAGCCATGGCCTGACAGGACTGCTTTGGCTCTCCCCTGGCCATACCGGGGGCACTCTTGAATGTATGACCTCAGGCCCTTGGTAAAGGGATCCTTAGCTCCTCTCCCACGGGTCCCCCATCTTAGGGGTCCCCTCTGCTCTTGCATCTACGGCAGCCTCGGTTTTTGTTGGGAAGCAGTGGCTGCTGCTACACAAGATGCTGTGTCCTCCTGCCCATGTTCCATCTTTCCGGGCACGGGCCTGGCCGTGGTCTGAAGGACCTCCCCTTCTCTAGGCTTGAAGATGGACAGGGTCCACCTCACCCTGGGGCCCCGTGTCAGTTGACCTTAAGTCATCCTCCACAGAGGACCCTGCCCAGGCACCGTGTGGCCCCTGACCTTGTTCTGGGAGACTTTTTTTACTTTTTTTTTTTTTTTTTTTTTTTTTTTTTACTGGAAAATGAGCCTTTGGGGGAATGAATGTCAACTGGTTTATATTAAAAGTGTAAATTGCTTAAAAACCATCCTGTGGTAGATCCATGAAACAGCCAGGAAAGGCTCCTCCCGAGGCTGCAGCCCTCAGCCTCCGCCTCCCCTCCTGAGGCTGCAGCTCTCAGCCCTCCACACTGAGGAGACCTCCAGGTCTGGATGAAGGGCTATCCCTGGATTTGGAGATCTGCTATACAGATGCAAACACAGCCTGGTCACGTGGAATGACTTTTTCATTGATGTTAGTTGGGGGAAGAGGTTAATAGTTACAGAGCCCAGGCTAGACCAACTGGGTCCTCCAGCAGGAGGTGGGTAGACGGTTCTTCTGTGGCCCGAAGGCCTTCCCCGACTGCATCCTCTCAGGCAGTTAATAGATAGAATAAATTCCATTTAAAATATATGCATTTCTCTCTGCTTGAAAAATATTATGTACAGTCGTAAGAGTCTGGACACTGGGGATCTGTTACTCGCACTGCCTCTGATCCTGGCTGGCACCACATCCCCGTGTGGGATGGCCGGACAGGAGCAGATGAGGCCATAGCAGGAAGGCACCCCTGATGTGTATTTACATCTATGCACACTTGCATGGAGGGACCGGCCATGCACACAGCCTCACAGAGCCCCAGGGTAGCTCAGTGGGTGGCTAGACAAACTCCCAGACCACAGGGACTTTAGACAAGGCAAGGAGGTGCATCCCCAAATCTGTCACCACCTCCTCCTAGAGGAGAATGCCCCTACGAGGGTCCCCGTTCAGGGGCCATAGCTGTGCAGTCAGCTGTGCATGGGAAGGTTTTGCTCCTACACAGCTCCCCTCAGTCAGGTTCTGACGCGTCCTCTCAGCCTCTTTGGGACTGCCAGTCACTGCTCAGACCCATAGGCCTTTGCTGCGGAAGGACAGGGACTTATTCCATGCCGGGCCACAGGTGGTGAACGCTGGCAGGAGGGAGAGTCACAGGCCAAGGTTTGCTCAGTCCAGCATGGCATCCAGCTGGTCAGCCAGGGCATCGAACATGGTGCTGATGTCGTCCAGAATGTGCTTGGTAGACGTCCCTGTGGAGCTACATCAAGGGAAAACCTTGATGAGATGGACCAGTGGGTCTGCAGCCTGACACTGTTCACAACATCCCAGTGGCAGGGGTTACTGCCCTTCCCTTACAGATGAGCTCAGCGGCTCACGGACAAGGAGTTACCCAAATCAACCTGCCTGTAAGTGACAGTCACCAGTAATCTCTGTAGGCCGCTCTAAAACCTATGTCCCACTGAGGCCTCCTTAGCTCAAGATGCCGTGTGCAGTGTCTCTTTCCAGTGCTCCCAGGCACAGGTCCCTCTCCCTGCCCCCTGCCTCCAGCTCACCCGTCTCGTTCCTCGGTGCCAATGCTCTTCTCAGCTGCCCTCAGTGCGGCTTCCAAGGATGAGCTCGTCTGCTCCAGTCTCTGTTGGGCCTGACCTGGACACGCAGGCCCAGGATTCTCAGGCCTTGGAGGGAGTACCGGGCGAGGGCCAAGCCGGGGAGCCAGCTTTGGGCCAGAAAATGCCAGCTGAGTGCAGGCCACAGACACAGGCTTGGGAGCTGTTCCTTCAGAGACAAAGTTACCATGTGATTTGGCTAGAGGTGACCCTGGTCACAGCCCCCCTTCCCTCTGCAGGCCTCACTTCTTCTTACCTGCTCCAGGTACTTTGAGGAGGGCAGCAGGGGGAGCTGGAGGCTCCAGCTCCACGGTCGGCTTACGGCCTGTCGAGTTTTCCAGACTGGGTCCGGCACTGGGCCCTGGGTGCCCAGGGGGCTGAGTTATGGGGCTGAGAGAGGGGGCTGGAGTTCCTTGAGACGGAAGACTGCCGGGCTCAGGCCGTGGAGGGTTAGAGGAAGCTGAGGGAGACTCACACGGGGCCTGGGCCTGGGAGGACAGGGGAGCAGAGGGGCTAGGGGTATCATTGCCCACTACCCCAAAGGCCAACAGTGCAGTCTGTAGTGGCTCCCTCTCCTTGCATTTGGGCCTGCGTTTGACAGTATCTGACTCTGTGAGGTTGAAGTCAAGGCCAGGGGGCACAGGCGTCTCACGGGGAGGGGGCCCAGCTGGCTTCGGCCGCTGCTTTATAGTCAGGTTCCCCTCCTCTGCGAATGGCAGCCCTTCCCCTGAGCTGCCCCGAGATGGGGGTGTTCCCTCAGGGCCAGGTTCCTCCTCTTCTGTGTCCGACACAGGGCCAGTTGGTGCAGAAGGAGCAGGGGACTCCGAGGGGCCGGTTGGTTCACTCAGTGTTCTCCTCCGGGGACCTGCGGCCCCTTCCTTGGGCCCTGAGGTTCCGTCTACTGAAGGTGGATCAGTGGAGCCAGAGACAGAACTGAGGCGCTTGGGGGGTGGGGGTGGGGGACCTTTACGACGGGCACGGAGGGCAAAGGACTGGCTTCGAGGGGTCCCTCGAGTTGGGGTGAGGCTAGGACTAGTCCGGGCAAGGGTGCTACGTCCTGGTCTCCGAGTAAGTGTGGCATAACTGCCCAGGGCACTGCCCACTGGCCCTTCAGCCTCCCCCTCGGCAGGCCCAGGGCGGCTCAGGCTGTGAGACCGGCGTTTCGGCCGAGGTGGGTCTGGAGGAGCGGCAGGAGAGCCAGCCAGGTAGGAGAAAGCCCGAGGAACACCAGAAGGTGGGGCTGGGGCTGGGCTGGAGGGTAAGCTCTGTGGACACATAAAGACATAAGGGGCAGGTCCTTGGCCAGAGAGTGGAGAGCAAAGCTTAGAGGGGCGTTCTGTACCCTCCGGAAGGTTCCTCTCCTGTGGGGCACTGGGGTCAACAACATTGGGCTGGGGAACAGGCTGCTCCTGTGAGTGACCAGAGCCCCGTGAGCGTGCTCCAATGCTCTCCTGGCTAGGAGAACGGGCAGGGGGAAGGGGGAGTGGTTCTGGGCCACCCCCTGCCATAGCTGCCTGTAGCTCTGGGCTCAGCTCACTGCCCTGAAAGGTGAGGAGGCGAGGACCAGCCATAGCTGGGCCTTCCCCATTCTCCAGGCCCTCGATGGCCATCAACTCTGGGCCCCTGGTCATCCGGCGTCCGCCTTCACCTAGGGATTCGCCATGCAGCAGGCCCCGCCGAAGTTCTGCCAGCCTCTTCACACCGAGCATGAGCTTCTTCTGATGCCCTGGAAGGGTACATAGAATCAGATGGGTTAGCTGGGTCTAGGACAGGTCATCCCGTTTGCCCTGGATAGACTCCCTTTTCCCTTCTCTCAGAGATGCTAGAGGTATGTGGAGTTGGGGACAGCCAGGGAGCCTCACAGTGGTCCTCACCCAGCTTGTTCACGCCAATCTCCTGCAGCTCCTCCCAGGTGAGATCGGCCACCAGTCCCATGGAGTCATAGCCGCTGCTCACCAGCTGCTTGTGGTACTGAGGCAGCCCCAGTGCACACAGCCACTCCAGCAAATCCACCTAGAAGAATACCACCATCCAACCAGGTTCACCCCACGCCAGAAAAGCATTCCCCCCACCCTCCTAAAGCCACAGCCACGGGTCAGAGTCAGAGGCCCCAACCTGGACACTTGCTCACCGGGATATAGTTGGGCAGCCACTCAGCAATGCTGAGCTGGGCGATCTCCGAGGCGATCTTCTTCCTGTGTCCAGGCTTGGTCACCCCAATGGCCGTCAGATCCTGTTACACACACGGCATGGGCCATCAGGGTCATCCTCTGCCTGCCAGGCCCTCCTCCCTTCACCTGCTGCAGCGCCTACCTCAGGTGTCATGCGACTGATGGTTGGCACGTCGTAGCCCGCCTGCAGGAAGTGGGTGGTGTAGCCCTCTAGCTGGAATTCACTTAACCAGTTATGAATGGCCTGTGCATCCTGGGCCAGGGAGCGAGATGGGATGGAGAAGTCAGCTGAGAAAGGGACTAGCCCATTGCCTGTCCATCCCTCCCCAAAAGCCAGGTCTAAGTGGACAGGGAAGCCCTCCGCGTTGTGCCAAGGCCTGACGTGTATTTCCTGTGGAAACCTCACCTTTCCTTCCAGCAGCTGTTCGGGTCTCACATCCTGGGTGAAGATCTCCCCAGAGCGGTAACTGGCCAGAGGGCGGTGGCTCAGGTTGTCTTCGGGGAGAGAGACAAATGGCATCAGAAGTAGTTGAAGGAGGGACGGGCAGGGGCAAGCCCTCACCGCCACCATCCCCACCTATACTACCCAAGCCAATGCCATCCTGTTTACCCTTCTCACCCGCTGGGGACGGGGCATGCAGGCCTGGCAGTACCTGGTCCTCACTGGCAGAGGGCAGTGGCTAGAGACAGAAAAAGAGCCTACTCAGGACATGGGAAACTGGCAGTAGGCAGGCCCCAAGCAGGCCCAGGTACCCTCCCTCCTACCTGAGCATTTTCAATCAGGAGGCCGGTGCCATGGCCGTTGGTACCTTCAGAGCTCTGCCCGCTGCCAGCACTGCGGATGCTGCCCACGCTACCCTCGCTGCCCACGCTATTCCTGTCACCTGCTGCAAGGGGCAGGAGCACAAAGGTCAGAGTTGGCAATGCTAACAGCTGACTGGCAACTTGCCAGCACCCAGTGCTCCACAGTGCCTTCTGGGAGGACGTACCTGGGCTGTCTGGGCTGAGGCCCACCCGAGGGAGCTGGCCGTAGGTGAGAGACGGCAGGGGATCGTCAGCCGAGGGCTGTGATATCCGGGAGAAGCATGGCCGCAGCAGGGCAGGTGCCGAAGGGAGGCGGGCCACAGGGATGCCCACCCGCTTGCTGACCACCTCGACGATGCCCGGGGGGAAGTAGCCGACACGGTCTGTGCCCCTTTGGCTTTCATGGATGTGGCCCTTCCAGCGGCCATCAGGATGCTGTTCAAGCACCTGTTGTGACAGCATGGACAGAAAGGACAGTCACTATATCAAGCAAGTGACTGTGGCTGTCTCTGTAGTAACAGTCCAGCAGGACTGGTCCACCTCTCCTCCTCAGGAGCATACATCTACCCAAGTTTGGCCACCAATGCCACCCCAGTGTCCTTGTACCACAGAGCATACGGACAACGCTCTGGTCTCAGCTCCACTGTTCGATCGGTGTGTGATTTGGTGACTCTGTTTAATTTCTCTAAGCTTCAACTTTGTCACCCCTTTAAAAAAAAATGCTAATAGAACCTATGTACCTTAGAGTTGGAAATGAAGGCGTATATAAAGATTTAACTCAGCTTACTAACACAGTAAGTCTATGCCCAAGTCAGTCATTGCAATAGCTTGTCTTCTAAAGGATTGCCTGTGTGGGCCCCTCACCGTGATGACATCGCCTGCCCGGACATTGAGAGCGGTGGGGTCATGAAGGTTCCAGAAATCCTTAAGCGCTCGGACCTTCAAGATCCCTGAAGCCTCTGAGAAGGGGATGAGCAGATGTCAGTTACGGAAGCTGAACTCCTCAGCTGACTCTCCT